ATTTATAACCATATCCACAGTCTATATGCTCTTGATATGGTTCAGTAAATGAGGATTTGGATGATGGTAAAGCAGTAGTTACTTTTCGAGTTATAGACTCAAAATCAGCATAAATTACAAAAGGTGCCAATAATTGTTTGTGATAATTTTTGAACTTAACTTGTGATCCCTTTTTTGGCATTGTAATAGCTTGAGTACCATTAATAGCTAAACAGTTTGGCCTATGTTCATTTAATATTCTTTCCTTGGAAAAGCATTGTAGGCAGGATTTACAGAAATGTTTTCGATTGGCATGTTTTGTTTTGTTAAAGAGTAATCGATTAAAATCTTTTATCCAAACATAATGCGTTGTTTTACTTTTGGAAAGTAATAACATATCGCACTTGTCTGAATAATTATATCTGGATATGTATAACGGAAATACTTTTTTGTTTTCGTAACCAAATATATTAAATGAAATATTATTCCGAATTTCTATTTTGGGTACTTGATTTATTGTGACAGGGAATTTTATTTCAGTATAATCTAATTCATCTACATGCCCTCTATAATTACTAACCCTTTCAGAATGTGTAGTTACAGGGAATTTATAAGCTAAATGACACCATCTAAAACATTCTTTATCTTTATTTTTTATATTAATTAATCCTTTCTTTGCATTCTGTAATTCTTTGGGTAATTCAAAGTAACTTGAAGCAGAAAGAGGTGTGTATTTATATCTGTTGATATAATGTGCATCAACTGATTCTATTCTCCATCCACTACCTTCTGAAATCCAATTACCAATCTTATTTATTATTTCATCAAAGTCATGTCTTAAAGTGTCATTTAATTCAGATTTATCTATGATAATTGAAGGTTTTGAATGAAAATAAGCTGATTTGTAAATTATATCTTCTTGACTAATTTTCGCAAAAGTTATTTTTAAAAGAACATTTATTTTTATGCCTTTTAAATTGCGAAGTTCTAACTGAAGTAATTCAAAAGCATCTTTTAAAGTGAAATAAAGTTGATTTTTCGGATCATATTTATATGAAATTTTAATTTCAAATTTCTTAAAATATTGATTTGGAGATCGCTCAATTTCCATATCTATATTTTAGTATTAGAAAATATCTTTAAGCACAATCTTTACGCATATCTAAACTTATATCTTAAAAGAAGAACAAAAATAAAGAAACTTTTTATTATAAAGTAGTGCGTTTAATAAACGAAATCTTTTTTTTTCTAAATAAGATTATATAAAGAGATGGGTGAATACAATAACATTAACTTATATAGTAAATTGTTTTTTAACAGTATTAGCGATGAGTTTTACTTTATCGACGAAGTGTTAAGAGTAAAACGATATGAGGAAAAAATAAAAATGAATAAAGACTTTAAAAAAGGGATAGAAAAAGCTATTAATTATTGTAAAGAAATTATAAGCTCTTGTAAACAAAAGAAGGTCGAAATCGGTATAGATAAAGAAAGAATGACTCCTATATTAACGGAGATACTTGATAGCAGCGAAATAAATATAGCGAAATGTCATGATAACAAAGAACAATTTAGCTTATGCAACGTTATTACCGATTTAAAAGAGATATGTAAGAAATGCAAAGCCGCCTTAAAAGGATATGATGATTTTGAAACACAATTAAACGATAGTATTGAATTATATTCTCGATATTTAGAAAGTTTAAAGCGCGAGGATTAAGTTGCGAGGCTAGTTTATTCATTTTTTATTCTATTATATTATTATATAATGGAACAAAAAATAGTTTTAAGCATTTTAGTATTAGAAAATATCTTTAAGCATATCTAAACTTATATTTAAAAATATGCCCATTAAATTTTGCTGTTCCGGTCTTTACTCTGTTTAAATTGTTACAGCACATTGATATTAAACCAGGATTGACACCAAGATCTTTAGATGCGGCATAAATTGAAGGATAATATGAATCTTCACCATCTCCGTTTGGAGGTATATAAGTTGCTATAACCGGTTTAGGGTTATTACGATAATTATTATGATTAGGTCTTGGACAATCGCATAAAATATCACTATTTTCCTCTACAGGAAATAAACAACCGCAACTCCATTCATAAAGTTTTTTTGTTCTAAAAAGGTAAGGCTCTATAATTGTTTCTAATTTAAATCGTATATTTTCTTTTACTTCTTCTTTAGTTAATTTAGTAATATTGGCTCTTAAAATGTTTCTATTCTTTCTAACTTTATTAAATAATATTGGTAATTTTAAGAGTTCTGATTTTTGTATATAATATGCAAAAAAATCGCATTTTGTATCCATACTGTTATTTAATCTATTCATTATATAACATGCTTAAAGAAAAAAACTTCACATTTTTACAACGCAAGCTAACGCAAGCTAACGCACTAGCTATAAAAGATATTTTAAGAGGTTTCTTTATAACCATTTAGCTTATATTCTTTCATATAAATTTCCAAAGGTGTTGTATAATTTGTATCTTTTTCTATTTCTAATAGTTTTGTAAAGATATCTTCGATAACTTTCTGTCCATCATAACTTGTGGAGGTTACCTTCCCAATCCGCGCTTCAGTAATTAATTGTTTAACTTTTTGATAATGTAATTTTAAAATAGTTTTTTTGTCTGCAACTTTGAGTTTGTTAGCTAATATAGTAACTACTGAAGGTAAAGCTCCTACTAAAGCTACAAATATAGGTATGGCGGGAATAAGTGCAAGTGCAGTTGAACAACCTAAAATACCTGCTGTTATTTGAAGTCCTACGCTTACCCTTCCACAAAATTTATAACTTTTTCTATATGCTGATGCAAGTCTTGTTAAATAATCTATTAGTTCATCAAGATTTTCAATTTGTTTACTCATTATATTATTTCAGCATTTATTATTTTTGGCATCTTTATCCAACTATTGAATTTATCAGAATAACCTTTCCATTTAACTAGTGCTTGTTTTTTCTTATAGTCACGCTTTATAACTTTTTCTATTCTAAAAACTTCTTGTTTAGTTGGCATCAGTTCTTGTTCATAAAATGAACCCTGGACCAGCTCATTATTTAAATCCCTGATAGTATATGTTCTTGGGTTTGTATTTTGAATTCCATCAATTGTAAATATTTCTTCTGTCCAATTTGGTGTATATCCTTTTTCAAAATGTCTCTTAATTTTACTTAAACGAACACGGTCTCCAATCTTAAATTTAGCCTTACTTTTTGATACTTTTAAATCACCATATAAATTAAAATAAACATTACCTTTATTTAACTGTTTGCTCGCTTGTTTAGGTGACATTTTTATACTACTATGTCTTGTGCTGTTGTATTTTTCTAACATTTTTGGTAAATCATTTAAATAAGTATAAGTATTATTAGAGGTGAAGTATTTCCACATTATTCGCTTCAGGGATCTATTGAAACGTTCGATAACCACAGCTTTGCCTTCATTAAATGTGTGGTACATGTTTATTGTATTTTTATCTAAGAATGATTGAAAAGTTTTATTATAAAATTCCTTTCCTTCATCAACCCACAAATTCTCTGGTTTTCTGCCACCAGAAACTATTTCATTAAAAGCCTCTGTAACAGAATCACCAGTTTTATTTTTTATCGGAACAGCCCAAGCATACTTGCTAAACACATCAATAACTGTTAATAAGTATTTTATTCCTTTGTTATCTTTAGAAAAGGCTTGCATATCAACTAAATCAGCAGACCAAGTATCATCTACATCATTTACTATAACTCTCCGTTTTGGAAACTTCCGTTTGATTGGTCTGTGTAATTCATTGGCTAATTTAACGTTCCATGTTACTTCGGGGGTAAGTCGCATGTTGCGCTTATCAACTGCCAACTGCTTTGCCCCCTTCTTCCGTTTTTTGAATTTCGTGTTTGCCCCAAACCAAGTTTATATTTCATATTTATAACAGGCTTTACTACTAAATTTTTTGCTAGTTTTTCACCAATAGTTTTTGATTTAGTTGTCTTTAAATCAGATAACATTTTCTTATCACACTCACTTTTACTTAGACCACTATCGTAACAATAGTCATGATTCATACATACTTCATCTAACTGATTAACGGGTGATCCATTAACCAGTGGGTTACCTGGTCCGCAATAGTTATATCCAGGAAGAGTTAAACCTTTTTTAGGCAACAAAGGTAACATAGCTTTATGAATATCTATTGAACCGCCTTGTTTTACAAACTTAGATTTCAATTTACCGCATGAAGCACACGCGGCTTTTATCATTAATCTTCCGTTTTTTGTTGTAACATATTGAGGATTTACATTATCGGTGTATGTTCGTTCTTTTAAACAATATATTTGTTTTTGTAAACTCATTTATATATATTTTAATTATAAAAAAGGACTCGTCGGTTCCCGCCTGTATTCTATTTATGAAGTAGTATAGAATATGATGGTTCCGGGGGGTTTTTGGCCTGAGGGTGTTCTTAAATCAATAAAATGGGGTTTTATGTCGAGCTGTCTTACTTTTTGGGTTGATGGGTAAGCTATGTCGAGCTGTCTTACCCTTTGGTTTGATAGATAAACACTTTTTTAGGCTTCAAAGTGTCCCGGAACCATCATATTCTATACTACTACCATATCCCATTTGCATTAAATTATTACATTTGCGTACTATACATAATTATGAAATTACAAATATGTGCGAAAAAAAATATCACCAGGGTCCATATAACATTAATCAGATAGTTACTACATGTCACTGCGTATACCGACGACACTTGTAAGACGTAAAAACGCATTTCTGAGCCTTAAGAATTATCTGTCTAGTAATGAAAACCTCGCAGTAACAATAGACTTTTTAAAGCGGGTTTTCATGAAGTTCATACAGGATTTTATCAAAATCATGCACGTAATGCACGTAAAAAACACTGCCTGTTGTGAACTGTAGTAATAATACGAAATAAATTTACTCAAACTTATCATTATATAATTACACTTATTAAATACATGTATAGGCCTACCAACTGAAAAAAAAGTATTTACCCATTTATAGCATCTTGATTCTTTTTCCCAGTCTTTTTCATCTTTAACCTCTTTTCTAATCCACTTCTTGCAGTATCTGACTCTATACTAACACCGTGGCTATTCTATGCATTCTCAGGTCTTCCCGGAAGTTGATGAAGGAAAACATAATGAAATATCCATCACACATCTCGCACCCGCAGGCATTTTAAAGTTATAAAATGACGGTTATTATTAGCGATTGTCTTTTTGAAGATGTTGAATTCAATTTATTGAACATAATATGATTAATTTGAACAGGCATAAGTGACATATCTGGACAAAACAAGTTGTATGCTAGTGTACATGCATTTATTTTGCCATCTTATCCTGTGTACTTAGTTTTGAAGTCATTTAACGGAAACATAAAAAAGAGTTAATTATAATACCTAGAAACAAACTAAAAAATGGAAAAACAACACATCCCCGTATGCACGAGCACGCACAAACACTTACACAAACAAAAAATACCCCCACCCCCAAAAAAGAAAAAAAAAACAACGAATGTATACGTGCCATCTTAATTAATAGCATTTACTATAGAAACTTCGTTGTTTTCCGTTGTGTTGTATTCATTGTTTTATTTATGCAACGGCCAAAAGTAATTGCACGTATATTGTTATTTACAGCGGTAACCTGCATCTTTGCAACTATAGCCCCTTAAAACCAATTGTAAACTATGTAATGTATTGCGATACTGTACAAGAACGAGACGACTTGCCGTTGTTTGACAGTTGCTGATTGCACCATCAGCGTAATTTCTGCTGGACTATGGTCCGTTATGGTAAGTAACTACCTTAACGTAAAAATTAAGCAAGACCACCACCACCTCTTAGTTAACACCCTCCTTGCTTTTTTCGTCAATTCCAAAGTTCGACATCGAGGTGAACACCATCGTTTTCAATTCAATGAAATGTGTTCGTGTTCGGATGGACTAATACACAAGTCCATTGTCCTCTTTATAAATATTACCACAGTTTTTAATATCTTACTGTAGAAAGGATATATTATTCATTTTAATTTCCCCAGAAGCGTACGAGGACTAATTCTTCCATTTAAAACACCATGCAGAAATAGATGTCGTCTGTTTTCATAGGTTATTTCCATCAATCCTGTGTTGGCCTTTCTTTTTATCTTACTATATCGGTAACGTAACCGTTTTACGGGCAATAACGTATCGACTGTTCTAGAATCCAAATAATATTCCAACCCTAAAATGCTGCGTGTACTGTGCTTGCAAATGTTACTGTATTTTCAAATGTTTGATTCTTCTTTTCCCGCTTTGTGAGAGTTTATACACCATTTTCATAGAATGTCTCTGTACGATGGCATAAAGGGGCCATCAGAAATATTTAATCTACCACGTGAACACGCGATAGCTACTACATGCGCACGCGATTGCTACCACGTGCGTACGCGTTAGCTACTATAAGTGCGCACGCACAAGCTATTACGTGTGCACGTAATGATTGACCAACGTTTGCACATAGCTATCGCATGCGCACATAGTAATTATTGCGTGCGCACGTAGTAGCTATCACGTAGCCAGTACAAGTGAGCTTCTATATCTAGATAAATATTTATTTATGACATAATATACATACAGCATGTATAATACGTGTCAATAATGGGAATATGAGTGGCACTATTAACATCCTCTATAACACGTGAAGAAGTTGCAATGACAATGTTTACCGTATCTTCTATTCCTGTAATGTAAAGGTTTTTTCAACATTTTACTAAAATACCTAGAACTTACAGAATGGAAGTGACAACAAATACTTTTTTTTGGGTATTAGTTACTCTTCACGGTATACCACCTGTAGACAGATTGTCGCAGGCAAAATAGCCAACATCATGTATTGGGGGGGGGGGTGATAATTCATGCTTGCAGAGCACTGCTTTCTTAAAAAAATATGTTTTATAACTCGGAAAAGTGAAATTATGTTGAAAATTACCACTGGGAAAATTGCTTGGTTACCTACTTACTAATGATGTAAAATGGATCATGTTCAAAGTTTGATAGAAATTAAACCTAAAACACGTGCTGAGAAGCAGACGACATTTCCTGTACCGGCATGTGAATCAGAAATATAAAATAAACACACAATTAATGTTCATATAGTGTACATTTTATTTCTATTACGATATATATAGCTTACAACCAAAACATCATCACAAACAGTTAAATGGCACCTTAAAATGAAGCACTTAAAACAATATTTGAGCCCCGGTTATGAAGCACGTGTCATTTGTAGTTACGCGTGCTGCATCACGGCAGCTAAAAATAGATCAAGAGATCCGGAAGTTGACATGTTACCTATTGAAACTTTAGCTTAATTGTATGTTACCACAGTAAAAGTAATTTTACAATAAAGGCACCCTGATTTATAGCATCGAGTACAATACAACATCAGTGTGAACCATAGGGAGCCGGCACAGTTTTTAGATACCATATAAAATGCTTATATGAACCTGTGAACACACTAGAAAGAAAAATCTAAAAAATCTAAAAAAAAAATCACCATCAAATATTATATATAGACATGTCTATATATAATATTTGATGTTGATTTTTTTTGTGTGTTCACAGATTCAAATAAGCATTTTATACGCTATCCAAAAAACTGTGCCAGCTCCCTATGGTGTGAACAGCTTTTAAAATCGTATCATGGCTCTAATTTTTGATACATATAATTTCTCGGCAGACTCTAACTTGATCTAATATTTGTGCCACTTTATTACAAAAACAAAATTTCCGGGGAGGTAACTAGTGTTGGTGTTTTTGGACTAGATTTAACCAGAGAGTTATAGTATCTGTAATATACATGTATAAATCTCTGACTCAACAATGCCCATTTTTCACTTTTTATTTCACATCTTAACCTTGCCAAATTTAAGCATGTTATTCACAATGTAAACAATTTATCTAAAAAAAATTAAACAATTTTGGTACCAACTGTACCAATGCTGGAGAGGTCCATTAAAGCTACATGCCTCCAGAAGAGTAAAAATATTTCAATAAAATCAAACTTGAGACAAATGTACTAAGATGTTAGAACAAGAGCTGTCCGTAAGACAGCGCGCTCGACTTTTTTATTGCTTGCCAATAAAAAAAGTGTTTGCAGTAAAAGGCAATACAAGAATCTATGTGTTCTGTCCGTAGCTGGTCACTTGTCCACCAATCAAATAGGCGAGATAAAATGTGAAATATGCATATACTACTGATTTTAATTTCAAGTACAAAAAGAGAAAAATAACTAGTTGTTTGATACCCTTGAATATTACAGCAATGTTTATATGACATAATTTATGGTAAAGTGAACAAGTGGATAGGAATGAATTTTTTTAGATTTTTTAAGTTTTTTAGTGCTTGCCTATAATACAAAACATTGACAGTTAAGGGCCATAATTCAAATAAAATCTTTGACAGAATTACCTTCTCCTGGACATGTTTGGGAATCATGATTGTAAACAAGTATTCCAACTTTCAAATTAATATCTCAAACAGTTCAGTCAAAAAGTGGACTGGTACTAAAAACTTAACCAAGATTCTAAGTCGATAAAAGGCCTTAATTTTTAAAACAAATCCTTGACAGAGTTACCTTCTCTTGCGTACAGATGGGGGTAATGATGTGAAATAGCATTAAAAGTTTCAAAGCAATATCTCAAAGGGTTAAGGCAATAAGTGGATTTTACCCATATTCAATGTATTTTCTAAGTCAAAAAGGGGCATAATTCTGTCAAAAACCTTGACAGAGTTATGTCCTCTTGTCTGTTGATGAAGGTCGTGATGGTAAACAAGTATGGTCAGTTTCAAAGCAATACCTCCAATGGTTTTGAAATAAAGTGAGGTGGTACAAAAAACTTAACCAAGCTCAATACACTTTCTAAGTCAAAAAAGGGCCATAATTCTGTCAAAAACCTTGACAGAGTTACGTACTCTTGTCTGTAGATGGAGGTTATGATGGTGAACAAGTATGGTAAGTTTCAAAGCCATACTTGTAATACTTCTGAAATAAAGTGGGGTGGTACGAAAAACTTAACCAAGGTGTGACGCCAACGCCGACGCCGGGGCGAGTAGGATAGCTCCCCTTTTCATAGAAAAGTCGAGCTAAAAAGTAAAAAGTTTCAAGTTTCAAGTAATATTTTACATGTTCTGTGTGATTAATGACTGATTTTTCAGTATCTACAGCTATATTTCTACTGTGTTTCTGATGCAGTAAAGGCTATTTATGCATATTTTGACCACTTTTTGGTATTTTACGCGTTTTGTAAGTGCAATTGATAATGTGTAAATTGCTTCGTTTTGGTTACTTCACAATATTACACATTCAAATACATTTTCAAATTTCATGAAAATTAGCATGAATCTGGAGGCGTGCTGCTTTAAAGTGCTCAAAACAGTACATGTATATTACGTGTACATAATAAAACTTATTTTGTGATAGTAACAAACAGATTCAACTGGTCATATTTCAATATCAACTAAATGTACATCAAATTAATAAGAAAAAATACTTTGTAGAGGACAGGTCACACTTATAATTAATAAATGGACACTCAATTAAGTCACATGGATTAGACTGCACCATTTTCAAATTAAAATAATCAACACAGTCACTACTGTCAAATATAATCCCTAAAACTGACACTATTGCATTGCACAATAGTCAATACATCTAAAAAAAGAAGAAAAAAAGAGAGCTAAAAATGCAAATGACACACAAGTTAAATAACTGGCTTTAAAACAAAAATTGAACACTCCTTTACATTTAGCACTATGATTCCTGGTTAAAATCATGCTATATTTCAAAGAAAGATTACAAAGGCCAAAGAAAAAACTTTTTCTTACAAAATCTTTAATTAACATTAACCGATATATATTAACCATACAAATAAATATACAAAAATAATACCTTTATTCCCAACATCAAAGAGAGAGAAAAAAGAAGAGAAAACCTTAACAGATGACCCTATCTCTATAGTAGCATGAAAATAGTAACAAATTAATTAATTTCTTTGGCCTAACAAAATATACATGTATATTGAATATAAGCAATCATGGC